TTTTATACGGAAAAGTTGTTTCATCAAAGGTTACGTGACAAAATAAAATAACCTTTTCTGTAGAAAGGTCGAGACACTTATATCCCCGATGATTAGAAGGGTACCCGAAAAATATACACGGTGTTAATCATGGAGCTAGTTTATTAGGAGCATTAGAGGATAAATTTGGGAAACTAAGACAACAAAAAACACGAAGATGAGAATAGGAAGGGGTTTTTTGGAAGAGTGTCTGTGCCGGAGTTATGTTCTTGAAAGTTTTGGTCGCTAAAATATTAAGGAGATAAACCGCAGTTTCAAGAGCATTTACCCAAAAAGAAGGTGGCAAAGAAGCATGAAATAGAAGGGTTCGTTTGACATTATTAATATTACGAATCATATGCTCAGCCTTCCCATTCTAGGAGGAAGTGTGAGGACAAGAGAATCTAAAGACCATTCCATTTTCTGTGCAAAACTTTTTGAATGGGTCATTATCAAATTCACGACAGTGGCCACTTTGAAATGATTTAATAGGACGTTCAAATTGAGTTTGTACATATTGTTTAAAGTGCAAAAAACTTTGGTAGGCTTGAGATTTATTGGCTAAAGGTATTGCCCAAACATAGTGCGTAAAATCATCGAGAAGTACTAAATAATATTTATGACCATTAATACTACGAATTAAAGAGGTCCACAAATCAGCATGAATAATGTCAAATGCAGAAGAAGTATTATTATGTGAATTAAAAAAAAAAAAGTCTAACATGTTTCCCTATTTGACAAGAATAGAAAAAATTGGAGTCAAGCTCCTTATTACAATAAATGAAATTATTGCTTCTAAGAAAGCTTAAAGAAGGCGCTCCTAGGTGTCCTAGACGATCGTGCCACGTGGAGGGAGCAACCGTGGTGAGAGATGTGGCAAGGCATGTGCTTAGATTATCGGTGGTAATTGGATAAAGATCCCCGGAGCTATTACATCTAATCTGATGATTACCCTCCCCGTTCGTAGGTCCTTCACAGAAAAGCCATTAGGGTCAAATTCAATAGAAACCGAATTATCAGAAGTAAATTTACGAACTGAGATAAGGTTTTTAATAATTTGAGGGGCGAGGAGGACATCATTAATAACAAGAGGTTTATTCGGGAATTTAGTATGACCATAACCCGTAATTAGAATGCGGTGCCCATTACCTATTAAAATATGATTATTAGTGCTTAATTTAAACAGGGGAAGAAAGTTACCAGAATTATGAGTTATGTGGGAGGTAGCTCCTGAGTCCATATACCCGTTTTCCGGAGTAGACATTCCTGGTGAGGAGTAAGCACTACCAAGCACTGTTGAAGTCATGGGTGGACCATACATAGGTGATCCAATGAAATAAGCCTGTTGATGGCTTTTGACTTGGTGTATTGGGCCTCTGATGGATCTAGCCCAATGTAGGAAAAGGTGCTAGAGGGACTGCCCATTGTTGTTGAGGCCAAAAGAATTGTTGTTGGGGCCAAGAGCCTTGTTGGGCCCAATTTTGACTAATTGGTTCGGCTTGCTGAGATGAATTTTGTGGCAAAGTCTGCTGGTTGGGTGAGCCACTACGCCCTTAGCCACGACCACGCCCCTTTGCCGCGGCCATCCTTGCCTCCACCTCGGCCGCGACCGCCTCCACCACATGGCCCACCGCCGGTTTCCGGCTGCTGCTGCTGTTGCGAGGAATCGGAGGGGGATGCAGAGTTCATTGTTGTTGAGTGACAAAAGAAGAGGGGGGGTTAGTTGCTGGTGTCATTATTGCGGCGCGACTCCTCAAAGAAAAGGCGAGTGTAACATCCTAGAAATCCATTTCCTTTAAAATACTTGTTTTGCCCTTTTTAAAATACGAAATATGAAAATCTAAGACATTACCTCCACCGTGATAACGGCTAAGGAAATTTTCAAAGACACACGGCGGAAGAATCACTTTAAAACCATTCAAAACAAGTCAACTTTTAAAAGTCAAATCAAACGAAAGTAAAGTCAAACAAAGTCAACTTACAAGTTGAAACCATTGTAGGCCCTTTTCAAAACCCAAACGAATATTAAAATCATTGCGTTTGTCTCACAAGCAAATAAATAATAATTAAAGCAAATTAAACACATCATATTCTTATGGAAACTAAAAAAGATTCGCTCTTCACTCATGCCTATCATGAAAATGCTCCATTACCTGAAAAGTTTCTTTTTACTTTGTCCCCACTACTCGCCATTAAAATGGGTCGTCGTAGGGCCAAGATAAAGACAAGGCTAACAAACATACAATACACACACTCAGCAATGCTGAGTACATAAGCGTAAACGATTCACAAAAATGTGTATACATCCTAGCATCACACAACTTACCTTCTTGCACCTGTTTACAAGCATACAACACACATTTCACTTAATAGACATTTCCATTGCTTATTTAAATTGATTATGTATCGAACGGGTTCCCCCTAACCTCCCTAATAAATGGGTATTAACACGGGAGCTAATCGTGCCAATATAAAAGAACCACTCGTAAGTGGCGGAATTCCTGCGCATAATAATAAAAAGGAAAATACAACGTCCTGTATCCCTAGAAGAAGCTATGGTTAAAAGTAAAACCCCATAACTCCCCCCATATGTTCATACTGGAGGTATATACATTCCAAGAGTTTTAGTGCGTAATCTCTTTCACTTTACGTTATTTATATATTTTAGACTTGGTGATGACTCTCAATCCACAACACAATCAATCATCATAAATCATTCAAGCAATCAAGCATACCAATTTAATTCTTGAATAATTAGTGACCACATATAATTTAATGTTGAACCCTTTTTAAACTATCTCGGTGTTAAATAACACCTTAAGCGCATAATGCACCACAAATCCTATCCCTCGGTGTTTAGAACACCTTAAGTGCACTCAGGCACAAAAATATAATTTAATCCTCGTGTACATAGACACTTAAATAGCTCCTTTCTCATGCTTATAACATTAATAAAATTTATATGAACCATAATAAAATTCCCTTTGCATAAACCAAACCAAATCAAACATTTAGTTTAATCAAACATGCTCTTAATTATGCCAATAATAAAAGTGTGGTCCACAATCAACATGCTTGGAATTCACCACAAATTAAATAATTCATGCTTCGGAAATCAATCACCAAAATCCATCCAACCAATAATTCCAACCAATACCTATCATGATACTAACTTAGAATTAATTAAACAAGTCCTAACATGCTTCTACACATTTAAATAATTACCGAGTACATGAATGTACCTTGAATATGATCTCAAAATCGCCACGACTACACAAAATCACTCATTTGGAAGTCTCCTACAACCTAAAATTATAAAGCTAAGAGACATTAATACCTATTCATAATAAATTTCCAGCAATATATACACTCTTTTAAACACTTTTAAACCATCTAAAACATGCTGAAAAATTAATTAAAACCATCTACTTTTATTCCCAATTAGTGGGTAATTAAAAATCCTTTCAAGAAACTTGATTCCAGTCTCTACATAAAAATTCCTGCATTATAAAAACTCTTAGGGGGCGTTTGGTTCGGAAAATGAAAATGGAGTAGAAAGGAAACAAATAAGACGGGGGACAGGAATCATCTAAATATTACCTTTTCATTTGTTTGGTTTAATCATGAAAAGGGTATTTGTTAAGAGAAGGGTAAGGGTATTTGTTACCCCAAGTTTTTAAGAGGTAATAAATGAGGGGTAACCATTACCTAAGGGTAATGGTAATTGTTACCATGCCTTCAAACCAAACACACAGTAACGGTACCGGTTTAATTGAATCTGTTTCCAATTCAAAAAATACACTAACCAAATGCCCTCTTAAACTTGCTGTAATTTAGTTTAAAAACATTAATATCAATAGTATTAATCAACTACAATCAAATTCCATTAATAAACATCAATTTAGAAACCTAGGGTTATCAATTTGGGGCTTTTTAATTCAAAAACCAAATCTGAAATTTATATACATATTTATCATTATTAAAACATCATAAAATCATCACACACACCCAAATTCAATAATTAATCAAAGCTAAATTGAATTAAAACAAAACTAAGAAGGTTTTTTTTTTAAAAAAGGTAAAACCACAACCTGCAAAGAGGGAGGGGAGAGTGGCCGGTGCGCCACCTCCCGCGGCTGCCGCTGCTGCTACTCTGTGCTGGCGGCGCCCAGCTGTGGTGGTGGTGGCAGCCGGCCACCGATCGGTGGTGGTGGTGTGTGCCGTGCGTGTGAGGTGAATAAAATGGGAGGGGAAAAATTAAGGGGAAAGAAAAATAAGAGAGAAAGAGAGCTTACCTTTGGGTATTCTCCACCTTAGGCAAAGTTTAATTTGCTCATAAGATGGGTATTTATACTCTCTTTCAAAACCCTCATAACTTAATTTCCCTTTTTACCCTTAATGATTCCTACTCCCATTCTAATTGGCATTTAACTTTCTTTAAAATTCCATTGACTTTAAAACTTACCTTTATAAATTAAATATGCCCCAGAGTTTCTAAATAATGAAGTAAATTATTTTCAAAACAAATAAATAAATAAAAATAGATTTTTAATTAAAATAAACCTTTTAAAATTATTTAAAATACCATAAATAATTTATTTCGAATTATCTATATACTTTATAAAATAATGTTTTAAATTAATATACGTATAAAATATGGGGTATTATTAGGGGTGTACACCGGTCCAAAACCGGACCGGACCTGGACCGGACCTGTTTGGACCGGGGACCTGAATTGGGTAATTATGAGGACCGGGGACCGGACCTGAATTAACAGGTCCGGTTCCGGGCTAGACCTGAAAAATCAGGTCCGGTCCAGGTTTGGACCTGAATGGACCTGTTTTGTGATTTTTTCGTTTTTTTTTTATTTTTTTTAATAAAAAACTTGTTGGACCTGCGTATGGACCTGTTTTGTGATTTTTAGACCTGTTGCATAATTAAATAATTACATACAAACCAAAATTATTAATCACAAAAGTACAAAACTACATAAAGTCTATAAAAGTATAAAGTCCCAATTCTCAAACACCAAAAATACCAAAAAAAAAACATAAATTCGATATGAAGTACTTTTGGCTATCTGAAACACAGGAAACACTCTCTTATTATCCTTCATGCTGCGCCTATAACACTCTGCCATCTTGGAAGCCCTTTTCTTTTCTCTAGGTTTAAGATCCCGCCTATTCGATATGAAGTACTTTTGTTTCCACTCCATTGTCACGAACAAACTGTTTCCATCCATCTGTAAACACAAATGGCCTTTCATCATATGTACTCGAGAGTCTGATTTTCCATTTGTGTTTACTTGGCGCTATAAGTGTACACCACGGGGAGAGTTTCTCCTTGAAACACTCCATGAACTTCTGAGGAATATTCTGCAAGAAATGTTCACCAAAAAATTCAATCAAGTGAGCTAATATATATTAATAATATAAGTGCAGTTGCTTTCATAACACTCCATGAAGCATACCTGAATACAAATGCCTAGTTAAGCATCATCTTCGAGAATGAATGAATGGTTAATTGTTGTGTTTTAAAGCAGTTTTTAGGAGATCCAAAGACCTTTTTTTTTTATAAATGCAAGATCATTAAAAAGCTGATCTTGTTAACATAAATTCCGGAAATTTTCATGACATCGTTAAGAGAAGTAAATAAACCAATTGAAAATATAAGCAAATAACTAAGAGTATAGAAAATCATCTTGAATAGACACGGATAGAGCACAAAACAAAGTAGGGAGGGTGTCTCTTTTTAAGGATGCTCAGTATTCATTTCAAGACGGTACAAGTTTCATTTGAGTAGGCAAAATTTAAGACAAAACCAACAACCTTAACCTAGGACCTGGGTTTTTCCTTCTTTTCCTTGAACAGAGCTAGAAGAGAGACACCAGCAACCTTGACAACCTTAAATCGGACTCCAGGAATATCTCCCACAGCATGTCCTTTACGACCAAATCCAGCAATCAACACCTCATCCTGCACAAACCACATTTTCTTAGTATGGAAGGAAAAACAGAGCTAGATAATATCAATTTCAAAGTCAAATACAATATAATCAGGTAACAAATATTAGACAAAATTCCACAAACTTCTGCATGATCCACATTTTCAGCATGAATCTACACCCAAACACAACATTAAACTACATACATATAACAGAAGACCTTGACTTCTTTTACCAATCAGGTAACTTCTTTAGTAAAAGGGAACAGTTTATCGTTCTTTGATAAGAAGTATGAATTAGCATTATCTTAGAACAGCTTTTTCCAGATGATTTGCTCATGAAAGGATAAAAAACCAACAGTGTATGACTGATCTTAATTGCTCAAGCTATATACTCTCCACCGCAATACTGTTATGATAGTCTTAAACCACAAAAATAAAGCTGCACATGTACTGAACAGGAGTGGGTGCAGGAGTACTGACAGAAGAATCAGATAAACCAGCACAGAAAGAGTGCGCACTATCATGTTTTATATGTTTCTGGATAAACTGTTATCAAGAGTTTATGATATGAGTATAAGAAAAGCATTGTTACTAATGTTAAACCTTCAGTAATCAGATGCCAGTATTTCTCCAAAAAATCCACAACAGAATTGACATTATTTCTACAATGGTTAACAAATAACTGGAGTTGTTTAGACTTTAAGAGTTTCTACAAAGGTTAACAAATAATTGGAGTTGTTTAAACTTTAACAAACAACATTATTTCTAACACGGTTAACAAATGACAGTTAACAAACTGCTAGTGTATCACTAAGTTTGTGTCGAAAGGCACAAAATACCAGCAAATTCACAACCAAGCAATTTATGAAACAGTAAGTGCATATATGCTTGCAGACATTAATAGAACGGACTTACATTTTCCTCAATGAAGTTCAAACAACCATCATTGGGCACGAAAGCAGCAATCTTTTTTCCATTCTTAATCAACTGCACACGAGCACATTTTCTGATAGCAGAGTTGGGCATTTTTCTGCAATGATAAGTTTATGCAACAACGCTTATATAATGACTAATAACATAGAATTTATGCATCCGAATGCATAAAATTAACTATTCAATTTGAAGCCATGCCAAAGGTCAATGCAAAGTACTAGATAAACACTAGACTACTAGATGTTTACAATCTAATCACTACTTTCTCTGCTCTTCTGATTTTATTAAACCCTAAACTTTAAACTAAAAAAAACCAAAAAAAAAAACATAAATTCGAAGATAAACCATACTTGTTATCAATTCTAAACATTAAACCCTAAAACCCTAAACTTTAAACTAAAAAAAACCAAAAAAAAAAACATAAATTCGAAAGAAATTCGAAAATAAACCAAAAAAGAAAAAACATAAATTCGAAAACATTGAAGTAAAAAAAAGAAATTCAACATGCAAACATCAAATAATCATTATAAGCAATTGAAACATGAATAAACATATAAATTCTAACACTTAATTCATTATTTCGAATACAAAATACCCAAACATAATTAGATAATTTAGATTTACATTAAAAAAAAAATAACTTACCGGAGAAATGGAAAATCGCGCAGTAGCTGTCTCATGCGGTGGTCGGTGGGCGCCTGGGCTTCGCCTGAGAGAGTGAGGAAGGCAGGAGGTGTCGGCGGTGGGCGTTGCCGCGTTGGGCTGAGACTGGAGACAGTGAGCGTGACTGCGTGAGGGAGAGGAGGAGACAGCCTGTTTGTTAGGGTTAGAATGAAATGAAAGAGAATTCAAGCGTCACTCAAGCAGCAGCGTTATTTTGATTTTTGAATATTTTTTTTTTTTTTTTTTTTTAAAAATACAATTTTTCCGGGTTTCAGGTCCGGACCTGAAAACCCCGGGTTTAGACCGGGTCCGGACCGGAACCGGGAACCTTGATTTTTAAGGATCGGGACCGGACCTGAATCAACAGGTCCGGGTCAGGTCCGGTCTGGATCAGGTCGGTTCAGGTCCGGTTTCAGGTCCGGTCCAGTTTTTGTACACCCCTAGGTATTATAGTGAGACCGCGCTTTATAAAAAGAAGGCAGGGAGTCTGTCTGTGCTATCATCAGAGCGACAGTGTAAAAGTCGGTCTTGTTGAGACCTGTAACGAGGCGAAGAACCAACTTTTGATCGGAGATGGGCTGGTCTACATTGGCGAGTTGAACAGCAAGGCTTTTGAGTTGCTGGCAGTAAGCAATGATGTTCGGGAAGCCGTCGAGATGAATCGAATTAAACTGAGTTTCAAGAAACACCCGCCCTTGTGCTTTTTTTATTTATTTATTTATTTATTTATTTTTATCTTGAAATATATCTTTGAAATATATCTCTTGAGCAGTAGACTTTCTAGAGAGTATTGTTTCAAGAAGATCGGTAGAGATGGTGCCGTAATCCACTGTTTCACGATCGCATCCAAGCACTTCCATAAGGTGTCGGAAATATCGGAGGTACGAGGTGTTGCCGAATCAATATGATCGAGGACATTATGCGAACAAACATGATTTTTAAACAATTCCACCCAATTCGAATATTGGACTTTTTCATAGTCTAGAGTTAACGGGATCGAATTCATGATATCAGTAACCGTGAGTGCCGGATGAAATTCGGTGGAGGGTGAAGGAGGTGGCGGAGATGGCGGGGTGCCGTCATCCTTTGCCATAGCTGAGGGTCGGTGATGGGTTTAGAGGAAAGTAGAAGCAAAAAAGGAAATTAAAATAAACAGGATTGAAAACCTAAAGCTGTGATACCATGTTAGGTTTCGAGAAAACTCCTCCAATTGCAGTGTGTACCATAGAGTTTACAATATTAGTCCTAATCACGTTAGGAAAACTAGTACGATAAGAATACAAAATATACATAAAATCTATCCTAATTTGCGACAAATATTATCATAACTATAATATCTATCAATTAATTTTATTTAGTTTTATACTATAAAGTCATATACTCCCTCCGTTAAATATTATCTGCAACAAAAGTACAATTAGCGGTTGCCAATGCAAAATTTAAAGGGCAAAGATTAGAGAAAGTTAAGTAACTTGTGGCATGTAATTAAGGTGGAGAGAGAATAAAGACCAGCTAACACCGCCTTCACCAACACCACCGCCGCCTTCACCACCACCACTACCAACACCGCCTTCCCTCCTTTTTCCGGCAGCCCTCTCCCTAACCAAAAAACCCAGAAATCTAACCTTCCCCTCCACCACCAGCCCTAACCACCTCCAACCCAGACCACCCCACCACCCAGACCCACCCCAACCCAAACCCACCCCCAACCAGACCCACCTCCAACCTAGACCACCCCACCACCCAAACCCACCTCTAACCCAGACCACCCCACCACCCAAACCCACCTCTAACCCAGACCACCCCACCACCCACGCCACCAAGACCCAACCCTAACTCAGACCACCCCACCACCCATGTACCCAGACCCACCCACCACCGTAGAAAACCCCTTAATCCTAACCCACCCACCACCCCACCTAACCCCTATTCCCACCCACCACTGTAGAAACCCAGAAAATCAGACGAAAAACAGCAACTCAGAAAATCGAAATCAATACCTAGAAAATCGAAATCAAAACCTTGAAAATCAAAACCCAGAAAATCAAAATCAAAACCCAAAAATACGAAATCAAAACCTAGAAAATCAAAGCTCAGAAAATCGAAATCAAAATCCATAAAATCGAAACTCAGAAAATCGAAAAAAAACCCAGAAATTTCGAACATAAATCACCCAAAAAAAAAAACGAAAAACAATGATTACTCTTAAGCATGTCTGTCATCTACTATTCTTGAACAACAAACTGATTCAGGATCCAAAATCGATCATCATTTTCTTCTTCTTCTTTCTACTTTAGGTTTCCACTTTCAAATTGCCATTTCCAGTGAAGTTGTAATCAATGGCGTTTGGTGGCCATTGTTAGTGCTTCTGTTTGCTTACGCCATTTGCAGATTTCTCTTGATGCTTATTCCTCCTAATGTTCCTTCTATCGGCGTTGAAGGAGGAGAGAGAATGGTGGTGGGAGGGGCGGTGGTCGTGAAGGAGGAGAGAGAATGGTGGTGGGAGAGGAGAGAGAATGGTGGTGGGAGAGGAGAGAGAATGGTGGTGGGAGGGGCGGTGGTCGTGACTGTGAAGGTGAAAGAGATGAAGAGGGTGAAGGTGAAGGTGATGAAGAGAGGCTGAAGAAAGAGATAAATGGATGGTGGGTAGACTAGGAGATGAGTAAATAGGGTGGGTAGAATTAGGTTAATGATTTTAGATTAGATTAAAAAGGTAATTGTGATTAAGCTAACATAAGGGTAAAAATAAAGAAAATCAGAATTTTTAAGTAAGGGTAAATATGTAATTTATAGGGTTTTTGTTTACTAAAAATGGAAAAGAAACAAATAGTTACACATAACCCTGATCATCCCAAAATGGCAAAAGTTGCAGACAATATTTAACGGAGGGAGTATATATATAGGACCAAATTATAACGAGAACTAGTTGAATAATAGGAACTAGGAACTCATCACAACCGTCAGATTAAAAGGAAACATGCAGATTAGATCATTTAATATTTAGAATTCTGAATCATGCGTGCAATTAGCTCTACACTTTCTCTCTCCTCCATTGATGCTAGTGCTTTGAGTTCTCCATTGGAGCAGTTTTCGAGCATTCTCTTCTCCATTAAAGCAGCTTCCGTGCTCTTTGTACTCCATTGAAGCAGTAAGATGTATTTTTCTTTTTTTTTCTTTTTTAAAAAAAAAATAAAATTCAACGAGTTTCAATAACATTATTTGTATGTGGTTTTTCGTGAATTTTGTAGGTAGTATGGTCAATTAGGGTTCTTAATAGTGAAATTTCAGATTACCTACTAATTGTTGTTATGTCGTCCATGGTGTTGTATGTTTTGATGATTAAATTTTTGAATGCACACTAACTGTTTGACAAAATGCTTCAATGAATTCTATTATTTAATCAATTTCAAATGTAGAAAGAAACCAAGTAAAAGTAAATTGAAAGACTAAAATTATGATTTATAATATATATGAGCAATCAAGATTAGAGGGAGTGTAGATGGCTGGGAATTCATTGAGCCAACACTTCAGGAGCTAGAATCTAAGATGAGAGAAGTTAGTTTTGCCTAATTTGATTTTTTTTTTTCCTGTAATCAACATTAATTGATTGTGGTTGAATTGGCAGCTCAAATGGATGGATGTAACATTGTGGCCAATTGTCAAAATTGCTTAACAGATTATTTTCTCTTTAAACCAAACAATTTTTTTCTATTGTTTCCTCTTTTCATTTTTTTTGAATGCTACTTGTATGATTTTGGTGACTAAAATGCATTAAATGTAAACTAAAATTGTTTAAATGTAAATCAAATCACTTTAAAAGTAAAATAATTTCTTGGAAGAGAGTGAGATGTTATCTTAATGCTTCTATGGAGGGGGATGTCAGGACTTTTCTTTAGAAAACATAATCCTCTTTGGCCCTATTCCTAGTGAGCTTGGATATATAACTAAGAATAATATAAGATGGCTCTACTTATACATTACTTGTCTCTTGCAAGATTCCTCATGAGCTCGATTTTCTACCTAAATAGGAGGTTTTTATAATAGGGGACAACTTGCTTAGTGGGGATGTCCCCAAATGTATTGGCAACTTGACTGAACTGAAAAGTTCTTAGGCATTGATTATTGGTTGTTGAATGGAAGTGTCCCATTTGAGACAGATAAGCTAAAGAAATAGGAGTCTCTTGATTTGCAACAGAGCGCTCTTACGAGTCCAATTCCAAGAGAGATTATTAGTGAATGTGAAAAGCCAACTATTTTTTGCAACCTCCAACAATATGCTCTAAGGAGATGTACCTGCATTAGTTTTTGCCAGCAATATTTTTTCTGGTACTCTTCCTACAGAGTTGGGAAGTTTGCAAGAATTGAATTACTTGAATCTGCTCGAAAATAGATTAAGTGGTGCCATCCCCTCATAACTTAAGTCTTCTGCAAAAGCTAAACTTATCAAGAAATAACCACTCAGGATCTCTCGAGCTCTTAACTTGAAAATAAAAGAACCATGAGGATCTTGTCCTCTTAGATAAACACTTTGATGGTAATATTCAAGGGCGCTTCTGCATGAATGATTCAATGTTGCAGATCTTTTCTCTTTCAAGAAATGTTTTCTCAAGTACTAAAAAGAATCTAAAGTGAAAAAAGACTTATAAACCTATTAGCTCAAGTGGTAGAGCACTATGCAAATGCATGGAGGTGTAGGTTCAAATCCTACATAGGTTATCTCTAAATGTAAATATAACACACCTTAAAGTTATTCAAATTACCTCAAAAGTAAATATAAGTAACTAAAACGTAATCAAAATAAGTCAATATCGGCAATATGACAGTTGTACAAATGCAGTTTTTTTGAAGACGGATATGCAACTTATGTTCTAGTGCATTGATTTGAAAAGGTTCAATTCACAACAAGATCATAATTAGAGTCCACTGAATGTAGCTCTGACAGGGGTAGTTGATGGTTGTGTTGTTGATTGTGCAAGTGGAGCCATTTGTGGTACATGGGCAGGTTATGTTTAAGGAAAAATTATATTGCACATACTAAGCATGTATTGTGAAGTGTGATGCTCTAGTAGCTCAAAATAGAAGCTGTGTAGATTTCAATGCCACTGACTGCTTAAACATGACAGCATGTCAGATCAGCACATAGCTCAAAGATAGTTAAGATGTATAAAGGGGTAGTAAGGAGTATAAGGGGGCAGTGGGGAGTAAGGCTGGTGGGGAGAGATTCCCTTCTCGTAATTGCTGGGTGAAGCCGGGTTTGGGCAATGTTAGAGTCAACACTAATGCTGCTATGTTTCCAGGGGTGGTGTGGGGCTTGGTGTTGTACTGATGTGTTGCACGATGCTGAGGGCTGCCTTCTCGCAGTGGGTATATAGTTTAAACTTGCTCATGCCAGTAGAGAGTATGGATTGATGAGGCTCCTCCTTGTGTAATAGATGTTGTTATGCTAGATTCTGCTAGCATTCCTTAATAAAATCTGCTACTGCGTTCTGTCAACAAAAAAAAAGCAAAAAAATAAAAAAAAATAAAAAAAAATACAAGACGAGAAATACATTTGTTGTCTCTAAAAGTAAATAAAAAAGAATATAAAGTGAATAAATAGGTCTTTAAAGTAAACCTATTAGCTTAAGTGGTAGAGCACTATGCGGATCCATAGAGGTGTAGGTTCGATTCCTACAAAGGTTCTCTAGAAGTACATATAAAAACACTCTAAAGTTATTCAAAATAGCTTAAAAGTAAATAAAAAAAACTAAAAAGTAAATCACATTAGCTCTAAAGTATACGAACAATAATTTAGCTTGAAATGATAAATGACTACGGAAACCTTGTTATATCACAAAAACACCGAGTCATTGATTTTCATAGCCTTACAAGATGAGTCAAGTTATAAGAAACAAATATATTGAGTTCAATGTAGAGGTTTTCAAATTTAAAGTAAATAAAACTATATCGAAAGTAAACAAAAGAAAAAAAGAAATCTAGTAAAACATACAAATAAATTAAACTTTAATGCGAAGTCTAATATGTAGATTACACAAATGAACCTACATGAGATTTGAACCCACATCTTTTGTGAAATTGCACAATGCTCTACCAGTTGAGCTAGTAGGCTAGTGTATATTTCACATACATTTTTGGTAGCTACCTGTATTTCCGGCTTGTATGTCGAGTAGTTCTGTTTGTACTTTTAACAATTTCCTTTCTCCGGACGTAGATCCGGTTTGACAATTACTCTCCCGGCATTTTGGTCGGTTTTTATTATATGATTTGCCGACTGAGTCGGTTTTGTCAAATTTGCTTTAATTTTTCCCATTCCAATTTTTGCAATTTTCAACATGTGTATATTTTGCCAAGTACGTAGCCTAGTACATGCGGTATACCATGTATTTGCCCTTAGACAGATGTATGCTTGGTTTTAAAAGTGGATCAATCACTAAGGTGATTGCCTTAAACCAAGCGGACAGTTGTCCATTGAGCATCCGAACTGAATATCAGATGGTCATTGACCGCATCTTAAATCGTTCAGAGCAACCGGCTGTGAGTTAATCCTTATGGGGTTAATTGTTTTCTTCGACGAATTCAGCCTGAGGGCTTCGTTGGATGTCTTGCTCTTTTTGGAGCGATGATATAGCAGTCGGCAATTAGCCGTGTGTTGTTGCTTAAATGAGCAAGGTTTTAGCTACTAAGTTTTTAGCTTAGCTTAGATCTCAAATTTAACCGTTTGAAGTGCTTTTGAGCCACAACAGGTTATATCCAAGATGATAACCGGTTGTCGTTGGTTGCAGTACAATCATCACGAGGGTTTAGAACTTTGGATCATTTCAAATAACTCAAATAGCTAGACTAATAAGACCTACATACATACGATACTAATCCACCAAAAAGAAATTCAAAACTTATAATCTTGATTATTTGTTTATCCATTCAAAGTAAAGCTAAATAACTCAAAAGTAAATAAAAAAACTCAAAAAGTAAGTAAAAAATACTCAAAAGTAAATAAGAAAAGCATTTAAAGGTAGCATTTGTTTCCTTAATTTAGGAGCAGAGTCCTATCCATATGTGTTTTCATGTGCTCACAGCCTCCCAGCCTCACACCGCTCACTACACACACACACCCAAACAGCCACACAACTAATATAACAAGGAAATTATCGAGGCATAGAAGAAAAATGGCAGATTAAGGACTGGTGCTGGTTGTACTACTTGCACTTATTCTGTTTATTCTAATGACACTAGGAATGCTGCTTCAACTCCCCGGAAACAACTGGTGGAGTTTGGAAGCTTGCAGACGGTGAAACGTCAATAATAGTCCACACTATCATCTAATTTTGCCTCATCACCATCATCCTCATCACACACAAGCAATCAAGGAATTCAAGGCCATTCAAAGTATTCCAAACTAATTGTAAAAATAATGAAACTAAAACTAAAAGCTAATATATATAAAATAGAATGACAAATGGTGCTAGATTTGAAACCATGTATATCCATCAACTTATTCTTCCTGATCCAGTTAAACCTTATTAATAGAATGAAGACTAATATATCTTGAGAAATTCAAGATTACAGAGCAAATTGCACTTTAAGGAGTACCACTGGTGGTGCAGGCATTTGTATTGAGTGTATTGCAATCACTGGAATGGAATTTTAGCTACCAGGTAATAGTTCTCAGTGGAATTTAAAAGGAGGCAGAATAGTGTACTCTCTCTCTGTTTTTTTTTTTTCTTCCACTAGTCTTTCTCTTCCCATTGTCATTTTTATTACCGTAGCATATGCACAGAAAACAAAAAGAGTCTAGGACACATAGCATCTAATTGTAATATACTATTCTTTTTGGTATGAATGAAAGCCCCGTCTAGTTAGCCACACAATTATACATACCCTTGCAAGGATGCCCAACCCATACAACCACATAACTACACACACCCTCGTAATGCCAAGCTCAAACAGCCACACAACTACACACACCCTTGTCTAGGATGCCTAGCAGTATAGATGTATTAATCTAGGCTCAACAGCTCACAATTCATGCCCTGTGAATGTTAGGCGAATTCAAAAGTAAATAGAAAAAATTCAAAAAGTAAATCAAAATATCTTAAAAACAATACCAAAACAACTATGCAAAACTAGTTACAATTTGGGCAAACAACTAGGCTAATCACAGTTGTTCAAATTAATTGTAATGTTGATTATCACACCTAAGCTAGCAACATAGCATAACATTCATTACATTAAGCTAGTCAGACATTTCATCGAACGCTTAGTGTGCAATAGATTAAAGCAAATAAGAAATAAATTAACCAAAGATACAATAATTCCAATCGAATTCCTAGTTACTAAAATTGAATTCTATAATCTGGACAGTAAATCATGAAAGAACACAACAAAAATTGCAATTAAAATTACAGCACATGGAACAATCAAAATTCACAAATAAATCAAACAAAAACTAGCAAAAAACCCCCAAATTTCGACGATTTATCTGATTATAAAATGCAAAAACACTGATTAATTAAATAAAATTAAAAATAGCAAAAACCCTAAATTCAAACTCGAATTAATCGAAACCAAATCGAGCAAACTTAAACTGAAGTGAGCAATCAACATACTAATAGATCGAAATTTGGGTACCTTAACAGAAACACGCTAGAATTTGATGAACAAAAGCGAAGAAGTCGTGAGCGAACCCAAGAAATCGCCTAGAATTTGGAGGAAGAGAGAGAAAGCATGAAGAAGAGAGAGAAAGCGAATCAGAACGGTGGATATGTTTGGGTATAATACAATAATTTACCAAAATGCCATTACTAAGTTAAAAACACGGATGACATCTCAGCCGTTGGATCAAATGAATCAAGGGCTCATATTAGTTCTTAGTTCTCATTATTCACCTTGGTTCTCACATGATCTCAATTCTATATATATATATGGTGAAAACTAAAAACAAGCAATCTTAGCCATTGAATGTTCATTAAATAATCTAATGGTGTAAAACAACCCATAAGATAAGGTAATTATATAGATTTTGATAACATTATATAGAGGTCACTATATTCAAAAATAATGTAATTATATCAACTTGACAACACTAAAATAAAGGTCACTATATATAAAATTAAGGTAATTATATCAATTTGACAACATTTACACAAAGGTTACTATATACAAAAATAAGGTACTTATATGAATTTGATAACAGTAACATAGAGGTCACTATATATAAACTTAAGGTACTTATATCAATTTGATAACATTTACACAAAGGTCACTATATACAAAACTAAGGTAATTATATCAATTTGACACAAATTACACAGATATCACTATATACAAAAATTAGGTAACTATATAAAGTGTTACCAATTTGACGACAATTACACAAAGGTCAATATATATAAATATAAGATAACTATATCAATTTTAACAATGTTTGCACATAGGTCATTAGTTCATCACAATGTATAAAAATAAAGTAACTATATCAATTTTGACAATGTTTACACAAAGGTCACTATATATAAAATAAGGTAACTATTTCAATTTGACAACATTTACACAGATGTCACTATATATAAAAATAAGGTAACAATATCAATTTGACAACATTTACACGGAGATCAGGTTAATATATTAATTTTGACTACATTTTAAAAAGATCACTACATATAAGCCTATGTGGGATTTGAACCTACTTCATGTGCACAATGCAAGTACACAATGCTAAACCAATTGAGCTAATAGACTTTCTGCACACAAAAACAATAAAGCTAATAACTCATATTATTGCACAAAATTAATAGTCACTATAACAAAATTAATAAATGCTAAGCTTTGCTTTGTGTAAAATAGGTAACTAAATCAGTAAAAAAAACTATAGGTATAGAACAGAGAATCAAACGTCTAGCCCAAAAGTAAATCAATTCGATAATAAAGAGCATAATCAATTGCAATATTATCATTAGTTAGACAAAATTAATACACAATGATAAATTAAATAATATTCCTCAAAAGCAACAAAAATTTTAGACAAAAAAAATGCAATTCATACAAGAGCTTTAACCTTACCAAAAAAACAGACTGAGATACCAAAACACATTATAATCATGTCCAAGTCATAAACAGGAAGGATAACAACTAATGCTTAACTTATGGAGACTTTGTATGCTACCTCAATGAGTGAGATTAGTACAGCAGCCATCATTCCAAATGCATGATCGGGAACAAAAGAAGGTGCACCCCATTGTAAAGGATATGGGATCTTTATCCTACACAAGCAAAAAATCAAGGGATGAATGAGAATTTTCCCAAAAGTCTGGGCTATGGCAACAATATTTCCAAAACTGTAGTCCACTTATCATCAGATCATAACATTACAACAGTAAGGAGTTTCCCATCATCGAGATAGATTCTTGTCATTAGCTTACCATGGTGCAGTAGAGATGAGGTTAGCCTTATCAGTTCGGCAGTTCATTTGGGTTTTAGCAGGGGCGGTGTTTGTAAGCACCACTAGCCGTCAACAGGTGTGCATATGCCCATATAACAGTAACTGATAGAACGAGAGCAAAGTGCTCTAGCATTGGCAGCTTCCTTACCTGAAAATGCTTCAGATACTGCACAAAGGAAAAGAAATTAGTTCTACTGTCTTACTCCCTCCGTAGCTAAAATTTTTACCCTTGCCCTGTTCCTGTAGTACCATATCGACCATGCTAGTCCACATAGTGTCCTCAACTCATTACGGTCCAATTTACTAGCCAACCAAACCAATCAAGAGCTAAGATCAGACTCCGTAACATTATCTAAAGAATAACCCAAAAACTACTACAGTCCCAGACTCCCTTGGCCACCGTGAATTTCAAATAAAATTAGACCCAATACAAAATTTTCTCTTGACAAATTTAGCCACCTATGCTATATGCTATACACCTATATTATGGTATGTAATGGTACTATCATAGACATTAACACAAGATACTTATGAAGCATCACAATTAGCCTTAAGCACTCCTACTGTAGGTGCCTTCTAGCTCTTTGACTTACTTCCAGCAGAGGGTTTTCTAACCCCATAAACCTTAGCAGAGTACTTATCAAAGTCCTCCACAAATCACATGCAGGGTTCCCTCAATAATAATAGGATGAGGAGTGTCCTTGTTATTGGATATCTTATCATTCCTGCGACCCCAAATATACCACATTAGAGCCACGCCTTTTTGCACCAATTTGGGATCAAATTTCTGCCAGGAAACAATCAGGTCACTCATGCTTTTCTCCTTATGACAGCCCAACAATTGTGTGCAATTAGCTGCATCCCACAAGTCTTTGACAGCAACACAATCAAATAGAGCGTGTGTGTCTAATTTTGTCACTGCATGCTCAGAGTTTTGTCCAATTCTCCATTCCAATTAAAATCAACAAAAATAAAAATATGCTCAATTCAAATCAAATCAAGCTTCTTACTATCTAAGATTAAAACGTGATTATCTTAATTTAAGCTATTCTCGTCATAATCAAACATACACGTTTCTAAAATTACCCAAACTTAATTTACTAAAATCACAAACACAAAAATCGTTTTACTAAGAAGGTGAAGAACAACAACAAAAGTAGAATTTCGAGCAAAAATTACACATAAAAACCTAATTTACTTAAATCAAGCAAAATTAAACAAAATACAGATAAAAAATACTCCTACGAAAACGAAACTTAAGTTGAAACTCAAAAAATCAAATCAAAAAAATAAATAAAAAAAACTTGCAAAATTACAAAATTATACAAAATCATAAACAAAAAACACAATGGACATATTAAATTTCCGGTTGAATCTACAAAAAAATACGCATGAAATTCAGGCAAACAAAATTTCAGAAACCTAAGTACCTCAAATCATGCAAAAAATAGCGAAATTAACACAAAGAACTCACCTGATAATAGATCGTAGAGCTGAAAAATCGCTGAAAATCAAAGTAATTGAAGCTGGATTTGAAAAAGTAGCATGATATTGGCAGAAATGTAAGATTTGATGGGTTAATGGTATATTACAATCTACGGTATATATATATATATATATATATATATATATATATATATATTATATATTATATATATATATATATATATATATATATATATATATATATATATATATATATATATATATATATATATATACACGTGTGAAAACAAGCCTATAGCTGAAAACATGAAAACGGACAATCAAGATCATAGTTTATGACCCATCAAATCTCACGGCTAAGATTAAAATACATATCCTCCCTCAAACCCCTAACCCACCGTCCAAAATTTTCTCTCTCCTCAAACTTGCAAACCTCTTGTCTTTCTCTCTCCTCAAATCCCAAAATTGAACACAAATTGCTGGAAACTGAAGAATTGTTGTTCAAATTTCGCATAAACAACCTAAATTGCTCAAATCAAGTACGTTTTTTTTCCGATTTTGTTCAAATTTTCATGAAAAACGCATGATGTTCAACTAGATTTTGCGATTTTTCAATTTGATTTTTCCGATTTTAATTTTTGCGATTTTTGTGATTTGATTTATGCGATTAACAGATTTTTAAATTTCGATTTTATTTGGCAATTTTATCAAAAAAAAATTCCTGCGATTTTGTTCGATTTCTTGTGCGATTTGCGTGTTTTGTTCATCAATTTTGTTTGATTTCTAGTGCGATTTTTCGACTTTTTCTCATCAAATTTGTATATTCTTTTTTCATAATTTGATTAGATTTCAGATTTTTAATTTTCGATATCATTTGACAATTTTATCAAATTTTTTTTCTGCGATTTTGTTCGATTTCTGTGCGATTTTGTGTGTTTTGTTCATCAATTTTGTTCGATTTCCACTGCGAGTTTGCGACTTTGGTCATAAATTTTTTCAACTTTTTTTTTTATCAATTTTGTTCGATTTTGTTTGATTTTGCGATTTCCTGTTCGATTTTGTTCGATTTCCTGTTTGATTTTGCTTGGTTTTTGTTCGTTTTCATTTGTGATTTTTGTTCAATTTCCTGCTCTAAATTTTCCTTATCAATATTTTGCTAACAATTACCTTTTCCGTTTTCATTTGTGATTGCAGACAACTGCATAAAGACTGCGTCGCAGGATACAAGGAGCTTCACCATGGGATGTATTCTGATGCCTTCACAAATGAAATCGGTTTAAGGAGTTTTATGCGGAAAGTGATATACTACTTCATATGGTGTTTTAGGAGTATAAGGTAAAATATTAAGTAAGCAATATACTGATGTTAGTCATGTTACATGCTTATTGCTGAACTTATGTACTATGAGTAGTATATTTAAAATCAGGTAAAGGTTCACCAATAGACAACTGAATGGTATGCCTTTCTTGTGAAAGTTTGTAGTCTTGTACTGTGTATTAATAATGATTTGATTACTGATCTGATTTGTTTTATTTGTCCTTTGGGAGATTGTATGTATGTATTCCTTCTGCTCCTTTTTGGTCCGGCATGTAGTAGTATCTATAGGTTATTGAGTAGGCCTCTGTGGGGTTTATATACTAGAGCTGTTGAGGTTGTACAATGCTTTCAAGATCATTTATAGGTCCGTCGGAATCAGTCTGTCGCAATACCCTTTGTAGGAAATTCGACGTTTTTCGAGGGAAATTCCGTTGGAAGCCACTTTTCCGACGGAATTAATTTTGTCAGAGCTGGTTTTGACTATAAACAAAATTCTGTCGCAATATTCCGACGGAAATTTCCGTCGGAGGTGGATGGGTTTCCGACGGAATTTTCCGTCGGAAGAGGAATATTCCGACGAAAATGTCCGTCGGAAGAGATATATTCCGTCGGAAAATTCAGTAAAAAATAAATAAATAAAAAAAAACAGCTCCACCCCTAACCCTAACCCCACCCAGATCCACCACCGCCACACCCCTTCTCACCACCCCAAGGCCACCCCCTAACCCACCAGACCCCACCTCACCACCCACCAAAACCCCCATAGAAACCACCTCAGCCAAAACCCCACCCACACCAAACCGAAACCACCACAACCATTAACTTACCCAGCCCCAAACTCACATCAGACCCCACCCACCCCACCACCACCGACACCACTACACACCACCACCATTCCAAAAATAAACCCAAAAAACCGAAATTAATCCCAAAAATACGAAAAGCCCAATAAAACCGATAATTAACCCCAAAAATACGAAAATTCACACAACATAGTCAAAAAATACCACACAAAACAATCAAAACCAGAATTTCAATAGTCAAATAAGAATTGCATTAAAAAAAATCAACAAAAAAACGATAATCAACCAACGAAAATTAAAAAAAAATATAAATATACAATAAAATTTATAAACTTAACATTAAAATTACATACAAATTAAAAATAACTAGATCTACACTCTTGACGGTGGTTGTTGGCTCGCGACGGTGGTTGTTGGCTCACGACGGTGGTTGTTGCCTTTGTTGTTGTTGGGCCGTTGTTGTTGTTGTTGTTGGCTTTGTTGTTGCTGCATCGTTGTTGAGTAGAGGAGAGAGAAGAGGAGTAGAGGAGAGAGAATCGGAGAAGAAGAAGAAAGAGAGAGGAAGGAGAAGAGGACGAAGGAGAAGAGGAAAGAGAACAAAGAACAGAGAGGAAGGAGAAGAGGAAAGAGAACAGAGAGAAAGGAGAGGAAGGAGAACAGAGAGGAAGGAAAAGAGGACGAAGGAGAAGAGGAAAAAGAACAGAGAGGAAGGAGAAGAGGACAGGAGAGAGAAGAGGAAAGAGGAGAGGAGAGAGAAAGAGAAACGAGAGAAAGAGAGGGGAAAGAGAGGCGGAGAAATGAGAAATGAAAGGGGGGAGGGGAAAATCCATTTTAGGGTTTGATTTTTTTTTTTTTTATTTTAAAAAAATATCAAAATTCCGTTGGAAATGGTTCAAAATCGTCGGAACTAGAGTTAGGGTTTGGTTTTTTTTTGTATTTTTATTTATTCCGACGAAATTTTTTCCCTCGGAATTTACGGCTTCCGACGGAAAAAATTTTCCGAGGGAATATTCCGTCGGAAGCTGTAAATTCTGAGGGAAAAAAAATCCGTCGGAATATTTCCGAGGGATTTTCCATCGTAACTTACCTTTTCCGACGGAATTTTTTGACAGACCCAAATTCCGTTGGAACGTTTCCGTCGGAATCCGGCCTATTTCTTGTAGTGCATGTTGAAAGCCTATTAGCTCAATTGGTCGAGCACCGTGTAATCACGGGATGTAGGTTCGAATCCTACATAGACTTTTTTAATACTTATTTTTATATTTATTGACCTCTAGGTAAATGTCAAATTTACATGGTGTCAAATTTACATAATTCCCTGAAGTTTATATATAGTTACCATATTTTTGATATAATGACCTTAGAATTATGGAAATGTTGTAAATTTTGTTTTAGCCACCTTATTTTTATATATAGTAACCTTTATTTTTGTATATAGTGACCTTTATGTAAATGGTGTCAAAAACTCAGTCGATATAGTTACTTTATTTTTGTATATAGTGAACTTAATGTAAATGTTGTAAAAATTGTTATAGTTACCCTATTTTTGTATATAGTTACGTTATTTTATATACAATGACTCTATGTAAATATCGTCAATTTAGATAAAGTTATCTTATTTTAGCATGTAGTGACCTTTAAAACGGTTGAATTGATTATATGTAAGGTTGGAATGATCTTAGGGCTTTAGAACCGTCTGATCTTTTGTGCTAATAATGAATGGCTAAGATTGCTTGTTTTTAGTTTTCACCATAAGCTCTGTTTTTAGCGGAACCTCCCCGTATATATATATATATATATATATATATAAAAATAAAATATATATATATATTATATATATATATATATATATATAGGGGGGAGGGATCCGGTAAGAACCCCTCCTTATATAAGAACCCTACTTATATAAGAACCAATCTCAACCGTAGGATTAGATTGATATGAACGACCACGATTAAAACAAATCACAAACCCTCAAACTCAAATAGCTTTCACTTTCTCTCTCCTCAATCTAAATGTTTGTGAGTTTCTCTCTCCTCAAAAGCGCCAGAAGCTGCACTTCAAAGAACTTTCAACAATTTTCGTTCATTTTCTCGGTTAAAATCAACAAATTGATCATAAAATAAGTTAAATTTCACAAATTAAGAGCAAATTTTGGCAAAATAACTCTAGATATCACAATATCCCTGCTAATACCACCAATGCTACCATGGCTGATGCTCTTGCTTCGCTTCCTACAGTAAGTTTTCGCTGAATCTCGTTTTCTAGGGTTTGATGATTGTTATACTTTGAACTAGAATCAATCGAAACTAATCTGGAGATGTTAGATTTTTTTTTTATATTATATATATATTTTGTTGATCGGTAAATGTTTGAGTAATCGATGAATTATTGTGTGTTTCAAATGAATCTAGATTTCAATAGTTTTGTGAAGACTGAATTGAACTGAATGTGTAGATGTTCTAGAAATTGATTAATTTTAATGTGCTAATAATCAGAGAAACAGTCTCATCCAAAGTAAGAGCAGCGAGCAGCCCATTATATTGAACTTCTCATAAGGTACCTCGTGCATCAGTTACAAACTAACCCAAATTGCTTCATAGGCGGCCTATATGATCACTTGCATCTCTGAAAATGGAAGCAGTGTGAATAAGCTGCTTGGCCTAAGCCACAGCAACCTCAGGGCTCGCCTTGGACCTGGCCTGGGCATTGGGGGCTTGGGAGTTGGGAATGCTACTTTATCTTAGCAATCTAACATAGGGATAGCAGATGCATGTCACTGCCACTGGAATCACCGATCCATGGCCCCTAGGGAGTAGGGAATAATCTCTGTTTGCTCGTTCAATCTATCTTAAATTCTGTTACATTTATTCTGCATTTTAAAATTTGGATTTGATGTTAACTGAAAGTAGTCTGGAATTTTGGATAACTGTAAAAACATAGCCATTTGAATAGGACGAGTAGAGGTGTTGATTTACCTTGGCCATTAAGAATGTACATTAACAAATAACGACCAGAGGAGAATTTGAACTACTT